AGGAGTCAGGAATACTACATCCATACATAGCGTATTTGTAAACACTCATGTAACAGTCTATCTATAACATCACTTATGACATTTCTTAAGCTATATTACCTATAACAAATATTTATAGTCATTTCATATATCGTATGCATGAATTATACAAATAAATGTCTGCAGACAATTAATTTCATAAACTTAGTCATATGTATTATATCTTAATCACATCACATGTACCGTAAAGAGAGATCAAGTTGCATTCATACGTTCAATGTAGATATCTATCCACAATGTGCTGGAAATTCTAAATGCATCCGTGTCAAACGAGAAATCATATGACAACATATAAAAGATTATTATTTTAAGTTAGCGCAAGATTATTTCACCTGACTTGACGGAGTAGCCTTACGGCGAGTTTCCTCATGCTTGCCTCAATCTCGTCGCCTCGTGTAAACAATCTGAAATTCTGAAGCAACTTAGGGTTTCATGAAAATTAGTTCATAGCGTGCATTAACCTAAAACATGCCTTAAATGCTAACACATATCTCAAAAAAACCTATATCAAATTTTCTCCGATCCGTCTAAGCTTCTCCCATCTTCTTCGTAACACCATAGTCCTCCTTTCTCCTTTGTTGATTTTGTGCTAAAACCCTTATGGATGCTCGCAAAGCAAGTTCGTTGCTTTTGACACAATTTCGACTTCTGCTACAGTGACCGAAAATGAGAAGATGCACCAATTCATGGCAAACGTCAAAACGAAAATAAGGGGGAGGAAATGAATATCTCAAATGTATTAAAATGAGTTTCATACCTTTCATTTTTTCCCTGAAACCTCAATTTGAGAGCTGTAGCGCTCATGCTCGCGCTCAGCTCCTTGCTCACACTCTAGTACAGCAATCCGAGCCGTTGCAATGTTGTGGAGAACTTGGGAGAGAGGGGAGTGGGACGAGTCATCTCACATGATTACTTCCCTTTCTCAGCCATTCGATCGAATCCAATGGCTGAAAATTGCGAGAGGGGTCGGTGGCTACAACACACATGCAAGATTAAGGAAATTAATTAAGGGTTAATTAATTTAATTATACTTATAACTTCTAAATTTTACATGTGGAAGTGGAGAAACCTGAGGTTGCTCGTATAGTTCACAACCCAAGAATAATAGCAACCGAGGAGGAATTCTCTAAGAGAAACTCAGAAGCATCTTCTATCGCTAAGAAAAACTTAAAGTCTCTTATCGAGCAACAAGTAAAGGATGCTTTAGCTCAAGCACAAGGTGATATATCCGTGTCTAAAAGATGACCTTATTCTGAAGAGTTTCATATTGTACAGTACCTCTAAGTATTTGTACCACCGACCTTTTAAGTGTTTGGTGTAACTAGAAATTCAAGAAAGTACTAGACATATTTTCAGGCTAGTTGTTGTAATGTTGGATGAATTGATGCACCATATATCTCAAACCGTTAAAAATTCTTGCATAATGTTATATATTAAATTGATTGATTTGAAATGTAAAGTTTTATAAAAATAGTCCTGTTGAATTTTGATGGGTGTGAATTTTGGGGTACTTTTAAAATTTGTCGAACATTTACCTGATTCAGTTAAGTCGTTATAATACATGAATTTATGCTTTCCCCTAATAAATTTTACAATACATGAATGTATACTTTCCCCTAATAAATGCTTTCTTAAGTAGTTCAGCAACTTACCAATTAAGTAATAATATATTCATCTTATAATTTGCTAAATTAGGTAAAGGTGATATGTGAGTCAAGCCAGTAACATGTTGTGCATCTATAAGTTGGGTTTAGTTATCAAGCAGCTCATCGAGCTAACTCTTTATATTTAGATAATTATTGTTAAAAATCCTTGGACACAGGCATACTCTCAATCTCATCATTGTTAAATTCAACCACTATCAAGGCGTAGATTACTCCATTAACTTTACCATGCTTTTCAAAAGCTTGTTGGTTCATTATTTGCAAAGGTTTCTATATTTCATTAGGATCACTTGATTGATTTTGACATAGGACCTTATTTTGGGTTTCTGAAGTATCCCTCCTACTACTGATCTGTTATTTTATTTGTTTTTCCCCCTCATGTTTATACTATGGGTTTGTAAATTTGTGATTTCTTATGCCAAAAATTGCGGGTTACGATTTTTCTCATCCCATGATTTGGGACTTGTTCTAATCCAACTTCTTGTGAGATTCTAAAAGCTACGGGAGTTGTCTGATACTTGGCTTATGGGGGTAAGATATATAATTGCTTGGGATAAACATTTGTGATTTAAATTTAAAAGTAGATTTTTTTTAATCTTTTTTAGTAAATATTTAGACTTCAATTGAGCTGATCTTTTGCCTATTATATCCATTAACTTAGGGGATGGCGAGTTTATGTATAGATGTTCTGACAAATATCATGAACCAACTTTGGATGAATGAAATTTCTTTTTATAATTTTCAATCTTGTATGTGCAAGTTGGATTTGTGATTGTTTTAAAGGTGGCACAAGAGCAACTACTTAATTGTGCGTGAAACTAATTTCTTTATTAGCTTGAGGCTTGAATTTTTTTTTAAATTTTGGTATTTTCATTCCTTACTTTTATTTTATCTATATGTTCAAACTTAGCACAACTAAAATTCATTTTGTGGAAATTAAGGTACCCCTTGGTTTTATGTTGTCCTATCTTCTCACTGATTTCTTCAGTTTTTGATCACTTCATTATCAGTTGGGTTCCAATTTGAGTATTGATTATGTATATTTAAAGAAAGTAATTCGTTGAGTTAATTTATGGCTTGTAAACTGTGAATTCTCGTCCTGTCTTGATCAGTTAGTTTTGCTTTTGTGTAATTCGTAAATCATACTTGTTGCTCACTAGATATTTTTTTTGCTAATGAAAGAAGTTGTCCATATCCATCACCCATTTAGAAAAGTTGTCAGGAGCTATTGTCCGATCAAAGGTAGAACAACCAACTTCAATTTTGATAACCATATCTTCATCATTATCATTAGGTTTTCAACTTTTTCTGTTATAATTTTCATCAGCATACTCTCTATGATGTTTTGGGCATGTTGTATAAAAATGATCTTGATTTGTTAGAATTAAATGAAAATATGACACTCAATGGGACACAATGGAGAAAAATGATTACTGATTCGATGTAGTGGGATAAAGTCTTTTTGTTGTTGTTGTTGCAAACTCTCTATGATGCCTATCGTAGTTTTTTCTTTCTTGGTGAGTTTGTTTTCTCTTATCTTGAATGAGCTCTAAATCTTGGTTAGAGTCATTATCCAATTATTGTCGGCTATGTTGATTAGTTTTTAAAATGCTAAGTTGGTCATTGACTTAATTTATTGCCGCGCTTAGTTTTATATTGCTAGTAATATTTTTTGATCGTTTTGTCATGGAAGTTAAAATTTCATCCTCAAAATAACTCGTTAACTTACCTAGATATTGAGCCTCAGTTCTAAACATCTTATTGATACCTTAACTACGATAGCAATTTTGTGCAGTAAGTCTGAAGATTTAGTGTTTACTAATGCAAATCTAGAATGATATGTGCAATAGAACATACAACAGAATACAATCCAGTGATTCTAATTATAAATTTAAGCAATAAATGGTCTTTTATGATGTAAAAGCACTGCACACACTTTATTTATTCTAAACAATAATGTAAAAATTAACAAAAAAAATGGAATTTCTCGAGAAATTTGGTTATCTTTATAAAATTCTACTATAAATGAATTTCACATCAAGAAAAAGAAAGTCAATATATGTCAAACTTGATAAAATCTTAATCACTTACACTAATTAATAAATTATTTTAGAAACAAGAACAAAAGATAGAAATCATTAATTAGAACATCTAGACCTAAAGTCGGTGCTAGGGGAATTGTCTCTTAAAAATTGTCTTCAAAATTTTGAAAATATTTGAATCTACATCCAACAACATACTAGAGTTGAGAGTATTACTGAAATTTCCTTTTACTATTCAATATTCAATTATTTCTCTCTTTCTCGGGGGCTATATTAAAGCCTAAAAAAAAAAAAAAGGTAATTTCTTAGATCAATGCTGCAAATTTTAATTTAACAACATTGAATTCAATGAAGAGTTACAAGTTTCCAATCGTAATTTTTGAAATTATGTATATATATAAATTCTTAATTTTTAAAATTTTATTTCAGCAGCTTCTTCGAGTTCTTATTTTCTTAGCCAAGTAACGTTGATGAGAAAGGAAGGAACTTCGATAGCCGATTTTTGTTGAATACGATAACTCACATATGATAAGAGTAGAATAGCGCTACAATCCCGGGAATGAATTTGTCCACGAAAGTAACCTGCTTATTGTAAAAACCAAGTAATGCTACATTCTGGGAAGATATGCTCAAGTTGTGATGCATAGAATTAGAATTTTGCTGAAATGGCGAGATTGGAAACAATTTAATTTAAGGAATCCAGGTGATTAATTGAAACAACTTCCAACGGTAAATCAAAACATTGGAAAATGCAACACGTTCTCAATAACATTAGCATTATCGGCATATTTATGGCAAAGTAAACTATAAAAAGGGGAAAAATTACACAAATCTATTATGCTCATCTTTTCTCCTTCTATTCTTCTGAAAAGCATATAATTGACTGTACATCACTGGAAAAAAGGGTCTACCAAGTGATGAGGCTTCCATCTATTTGGGGCCTGGGGATAGGTTGATGCATGAAATTTTTCCCCGCATTCAAAAACCATTGTTCCAGTATTTTGAACCCATGACCAGCATGTCACAATGGAACCATTCTAATGTTACCAGAAGGCCTACCATCTGAATTGTACTTGACTATTTTATTGTGCATAACTTTTTAATGTAAAGTTTGTCGAGTATCTCGCTTAAATTTTTTTTTTCCAGATCATCTATCAACAACTTATTATACTTATAAGCTTTATATGCTGTACCTTTTTAATATCTTTATGTTTTGAGTTGTATTTTTTTAAGCTGAGCATATCCCTTCATCCAGAATATGGTTTACTATAAGATATCTCATGTTGATCACCGAGTGTCTAATCCGGAGCAATGTATTGCAAGTGATTTGCCAAGGTTCTGTACAGAACTGAGTGATCTTGTACAAGACGATCTCACTGCAGTGATGGATGGTCTGCTGTATACCTGGCGTCTTTGTTCTTATGCTAGTCCGAAATACGTTCTTTGGATTCTGGTACTTATTTATTACATTTTGATTGGTGAAAAGTTTTTGTTGTCTTTTCAGAATTTAGCTAAATATATGATTAAAAGTCAGCAGGTAGTTTTGTAAGAAACAAATTTTGCCTGCTTTTATAGGCATATGTGATAGGTGCTGGCTCTCTTATTAGAAATTTCTCTCCCGCCTTTGGAAAATTGATGGCCAAAGAGCAAGAGTTAGAAGGAGACTATCGGCAGCTTCACTCAAGATTAAGGACACATGCTGAAAGCATAGCTTTTTATGGTGGTGAAAAGAGAGAAGCATCTCACATAAAACAAAAGTTTAAGACCCTTGTGCGGCATCTCAACCTTGTTCTCCATGATAATTGGTGGTTTGGGATGATTCAGGATTTTCTCCTGAAATACCTTGGTGCCACTGTCGGAGTCATCTTGATTATTGAACCATTCTTTGCTGGTAATCTTAAGCCAGATTCTTCTACACTTGGGAGAGCAGAAATGTTGAGTAATCTCCGTTACCATACAAGTGTGATAATATCTCTTTTTCAGTCTCTGGGGACGCTATCTATCAGCTCCAGACGATTAAACCGTCTCAGGTCAATACTTTTAATCTCTTGCATATTTTTTTTGGGTTTTTTTTTTGTTTGTGGGGGGGGGGGGGGGGTGTGTTTTTTTTGTGTTGGGGGGGGGGGGGGGGGTGGTTAGATTTTACACTTTTGTAGTAACTTCTTTATTCTCAAACATGAATTCTTATTTATGCATGCTTGTTAATTAGGGGTTATTATTGAGTTGAGTTTAAGCGAGTCAACCTCTTATTTCAAGTTGAGCTAAATTTGAATCGAGTTAAAAGTGATAGATTTTGAGTGGAGTTTTGAGCTGATTTGTGTGAATCTATTATTTTTATAAGTTTTTAATTGTCAAGATTATTATTTGTGTCAGTGTTATCAAAGCGCAATGCAATGTACAAACCTTTTTTTATTTTTAAAGCGCAAAGCATAGAGTGAATCAGCTGTTTTATTAAGCAAAGCGGGCATCATACTCTTCGCTTCGTCGCTTTGCTCATGAAATGCACTTTTAAAAACATTGATTTGTTTACATGCTATATCTCTATATATATGGTTATTTTTTAAAGCGCAAAGCATCGAGTGAATCAGCTGTTTTATTAAGCAAAGCGGGCATCATACTCTTTGCTTCGTCGCTTTGCTCATGAAATGCATTTTTAAAAACATTAATTTGTTTACATGCTATATCTCTATATATATGGTTATACACACACACATACTGTTTATATGTAGTTAGTTATATATGCATTTATATGTCTGTGTATTGTTTGTGCTGAAGCTCAAATATCCATGTGAATAATGCTACTTTATCATTTAATCAGATAGTTTTGACCGAGCCATGTTTGTGTTTTGGCAAGTAGATTTTGATTTTGAGTTGATTAAAAATTGTGTTCACTGGGTGAGTTCAAGTTATGGACATAAAAGTCAGCATTGTGACTAATGTTAGCTTTTAACATATGTCACCAAATCTATTCAAAGCACATCTTTGATAACAATGCCTTTTTGTTTTGTAGTTTGTATCATAATGGTAGTCACTATTGGTATCTTTTAATTAACAACCCGGTTGCAGAAATTTCTTAGATGCGAAATTTCAATGAACTAATAAATTTGTGAAATAATCTATTTGTAATGATTTTTTTCGAGGTGCAAATCTCATAAAATTTTTATATATTTTATTTAGCTGCACCGGCATGATTTTTTGGTTTCTTACTTGATGCTATACTTAATGAAACCTACATTGGAGAGTTTGAGGGTTCTTTGTAAAGAGTTTGCGAGTGCCATATATTCTCACTGCCATGCCTGCGGCCTTCACTTAGTCATTTGCCAATTATTTGTTTTTTGACGACATATATTTGAACTAAATATTATGAGATTATGGCATTTGCAATTCTATGCTTTCCACTTGGCTTTGAAAACTTCTTGCCGAATAATTTTTAGCAAATGTGTTGCCAGGCCTAGGTTTTTAGAGCCTTATGATTAGTTGTTAGGTTGCTAGAAAATGAGTCAAAGGTTCTGTTACTGCCATATTGGGGTCTGTTCAAGTACACTGCCATATTGGGGTCATCATGATTTGGCGATCAAGGCTTTGACTTGCTATAAAAATTATGAGATTAAGGGCAGGTTCAAATCCAAGCATGAAAACGCCTATTAGTTAGATTATGACTAAGGTGGTGAGATTCCATTTACCTTTAGCTACCCTAAGTGATTAGCATTGTTAATTCAAACTTTCATGGGCAGGGTTTCGTATCTTGGTGTCAGCATGTCAGTCGTAGTCTCTCTCTGACATCAATACCTATTGGCATCAACATCCTGTTTGCTCTTGTTCCCTTCCACATCTTGGTTGATCGTCCGTTTTTTTTTCATAACTTCTATTTTCGCCCGAGTTTTGGATTGTTGCTTTTTGTCTCGTGTTTGTTTCATGCTCATTTTCTCACGTTGGTCTTAGATGAGGGATCTTCTGCTATCCCGATTTCTTTAGTTCTTCTAGTGTTTCTTCGGATTCCATCTCCTTCCACTCTATTTTTGATCGCTCTTAGAGTTTTTGATGACCCGCGAGTGGGACTCACTAGTGAGATGGAAACACTTTTTGTCCTATTGGTTCTTGACTTTTTCAAGGCTCCTCCCACTATATGCTCTTATGTGGTTTGTGCACTTTCAACGACACAACCTGTGTTAATTTTCTGATGTTGTTAGTGGTTTGATGTTGCCAGCTTTCACACCTCTTCATGCAACAACTTGCCTCTATTTTTTCTTCAAGATTTAGCAACATTGCAACATAAGCTAATTTTCTCTTATTCAGGTAATTTTGTTGCTCTCTTTTTCACTGATGAGATCTTTGTGCTTACTAGACACCTTTATGTCTCAATTGCTCACAAATTTTCTACGGGTCATCCCAACATGAAAATGGTTTATAAATTTATGTCCAACTTGCATCACATAGGTAACTGTTTTATTGGGCAAATTTTCTATGGGTCATCCGAACATGGAGATAGTTTATAAATTTGTGTCCAACTTGCAGCACATCGGTAACTGTTTCATTAGGCTTATCGACTCTCGCAATATCATCATAAAACTTTCTTTAAAAACAAACCACACAAACAATAACAAATTATTCTAAAGATGCTTATATTTTATTATTGACTTCTTGATGCATATTCTAAATTGGTCTTCCTATTTACCTTATTTCGTAGTTTTTTCTTTGAGACATAAATATGTATTAATACCCGGTTTTGAAACTTTTGGATTTTGATTTATGAATATAGATTATTTTATCTGGTTTTTTCTTGCCAGAATGCTGGAATTTTTTGTTTTTTTTTAGTGTTGTGCCTATTGGTTGATCGGTCAAGATGATGATCTCTACCGGACTTTCGTAGGCCTCTTGTGCCGCTTGTTTTATACCCGATCTACTGTTTTCCTATTTCAATTTATTAGTCGCCATCATTTTTCACCCATCTTTCTGTCTTACAACTTAATGTCTCCCTTGATCACCTCATATCATCTAGTAACCCTACATTTGTGTCAGTTTGTATTAGAACTTTTGAAACTCTAAATCTTTAGGGAAATTTTTTCTCGGCTATTAAACCCAAATTCACATTACCTAATTCATCCTCTAACCAGCTCTCATTTCAGCCACCTGAAATTAGGCGAAAGAGATACCATGCCGCCGAGGAGAAACATGCAAAGAGGTGTCCAAGAGTTATAATGAAAGGTATGTAAAGAGAGTTCTTCCAGCTACAACAAAAGTTTATTGCATTTGAGAGGAGGCATTCTGAAGAGGTCATCCTTAGCCATAATGGTGGCTCATTGGATTGAGAGAGAAGCTAACATCTTCCGTTAGGAACTTTCTTGTGATTTAGAATCAATAATGTTTTGATGATTTGGCATTGAATATTAGAGAAGATGCAATGGTTTGGGGGTGAAGATCAATTCATTATATTTTAATAGATGCTTTGATCTGGACGAATTCATTGAGCCACTCCAAACAATTGAATGAATTATTGAGTGTATGGACATTCCCCATGCTAAGATGGTCAAATTGACAACCATCAAGCTTAGGAAGAACACTTCTTTATGATGGAAGAATATGAAGTGTCTTTGACAATAGGAAGGGTAAAACAAGATCACCACATGACCCAAGATGAGAGGGAAAATGAAGCCAAATATCTTCTCCCATTGATTGAGAGGATATATTCTTAAAAGTTTACAACCTGCACCAGAGAGATTCTTTTGTGGAAAAGTGTATTTGAAAATTTGATTAACTCATGAATGATGAGTTGGTGGAACAATAGGAACACACAATGATGAGTTACTTTGTAGGATTGAAGCTAACTATTGACAGTGAAATGTAGCTAATACCATATTAATGCTTACTCAACATACAAAAGTTAGTTTTAATAGTGGAAAAGCAACATCATCATCAAGAGTCTTCCATACCTTACAAATAGAGTTTTACCTTAAGATCACACGATAAGAGCACACCCACAAGATAAACAAATCGACTCATCTTGAGAAAAAAATAGCCTAGATTCGACAAAATATGAGGGCCCCTTTCGAGCTAAGAAGTGCTTCAAATGTCATAATTTTCGACATATAATATCTGATTGTCCTGTAGGAGAGTGATCTCTTTCATTGAACAAGAAATAGTTGAAGAGATAGACTTTGACACCAAGTACATATGAGAAAGTGAGGATGTGAAAGATGTGTATCATCTTCTTGTTGACGAGAGAGAGATGTAAGTGATTCCATAGATCTTTCAAGTCAAGCTCATGAGGATTCAAAGTCGCTTCACCATAATGTTTTTTGTACCCGTTATACCGTGAAGGAAAATGTGTGTAGTATTATCTTTAATAGAATCAACTATGAGAACATGATGTCCCCTCGAAAGACAAGTTGAGTCCTTACACAAAAGCATACTCAATCTTATTCTCCATCTTAGTTGAAGGGAATAAGTCACAATTGGCAGAAGATGTTCAGTGGATTTTTCTATTGGTGACGAACTCTAGGATCAGGTGTTGTGTGATGTGATATTTATAGATACTTTTTACATCCTTTTGGGTTGCTCGCGATAGTACAACCGGCGTATGCTTGATTACGGTTACTATAATTTTTGTTCTTTCATCCATGATAGAAAACACATTGTACTTTTAGCTTGAAAGGAGTCCGAGGTAATGACCATTCATATCAAGTGTGGTATGAGAGTGCTACGGGTTACCTTTCTGCTGGCTTTAAGGGAAGCATCCGTAGAACTAGTTTGGATGGTTCTAAAAGTCAATGAGCTCAAGGAGGCAATAACCAGACATAGTGCAACTGTTGATGAGAGAGTTTCAGGATGTTTTTAACCATCGTTACTTGCTAATCACCACTAGTGTTGGCTTTGAAGTGCTAAAGAATTGTCTTCCACTAATGAGGATTTTTCAGGAGATTTCGGTTCTTTGCTAGAATAGATCATATAAGCAAGTTCACATATTAGATGGTTATGTTTTTATCCGAATAAAATATGCATTCCTAGGAGTTCACTTAAAGATATTATTTTG